GTTGCTTAACTTTTCCTATGTGTTTTAGATAACTTAATTTATTTCAAGGCATATTCATATTGTTTTTACACAGAAATTCACAAAAAATATGTTTTTGAAACAAAACAAAAATATGAGAACCTTGCAAACGTTAATTCACTGAACAATTTTTAAGGTTTTTGAATTTGAACTTTTAATTTTATAGCGATTTTTTAAATTTTTACTTTAATTTTGTAACTTTAGTATTGATTTTTCTATCAATATGATAAGTTCACGCTTATTGCAGTAAAATTTATGTTTTAAAAATATTTTCTGAAATGTTTTTATCAAAAATATTTGTTTTGTAAACAGTTCAAATCGAAGAAAACAGGAAGAAATCTACTCAAATCGAATATTTTGGTGGGTAAAAATTTTTCTGTTCAAATCGAATCTACTCAAATAGAATCTACTCAAATCGAGGACCCCCAGTATGCGAATATGGAATGAAAAAAACAATCGTAAAAATTGAGAATATGTGAAGTGTGGCGCTAAATGGTAAATAAAAAAAATCTGAATTGCACTTGAAAATGTGCAAAAATAAAAATAAAAGTTGAAAGTTTGTGCTGGATGTTGGAGTGTATATTTTTGAATTTTCTGTATTAATTGCCAATTTAAATTTATTGGGATATGCTTAAACTTTGGATTGCATCAATGAAGAGTTGATTTGTCATCCACAGCTTTCCTGACAGCTAAAGGAACTATCAATTGCTAAAAATTCCTTGCATTCCTTTAAAAGTTTATCAATAATTCTGCAAGCCCAGGAAAAAACTTTAAAAATCTGATCAATAAAGCAAAAAGTAAAAACTTTTTTAGTGTCAACAACTCACTTCTATATTTATCCTCATTCTCATCCTACACAGTATAAAATCTATAAATTTTTTTTCAATTTGATACAAAATACATACAGTGGGGGAAATAATTATAGGCGAATGGATATTTTCAAAATTCTCGAAAATATAAACATTTTCAGAAAATATGTTCTATGTGAAATTTGTGCAGCTTAATATGACGAATATCCCAGCGAAAAATTTTTTTAATTATATTAACTAGAAAAAAAAACGGCCATTTTTTGAAAAATATGCGTTTCGCAAGTGGAAATAATTATAGGCGAATTTTGAAAAAAATTGTAAAATTTTACTTTAAACTTGAAATTCACTTGAGTTTTCAATTGATTAAGTTATTTAAACATTGTATCAATCCAATTTGACATTATACGCACAATAATTACTGATTTAAATATATAAAATTTGGTCTTGAAATTAGCAAGGAATAAAATTGCAAAAATCAATGTTTTACGCCAATTTGGCAACGATAACTCCTCGATTGCATATGAAATAATTAGATTTTATTGCAATTAATATAGCTCAATAAAAATTTGGTGAAAACATAGTCAGAAAAAGTAAAAATAAAGAAAAATTTTGATCACATGGCCAATACAAAATGAGAAATTTTTAAAATTTTCACTCAAATGAAAGTTTTGGCTACAAACTAAGGATGACTTCTACTTGCTTTTATCATATCTATGTTTTAAAGAAGATATTAAAAAGATTGAACAAGATATATTTGCAAAAAAACGCAATTTACGAATAAGCGCATGATTATAAAATTCTCGTTTAATGCAAGCTTTTAAATTCTTGTTAAAATGATCCTAATAACACTCAAAACTATCAGTTATTACATAATTTGTCTATTATCATAATTAAATATTAAATATCTTAAATATATTAAGATACTATAACTTTTTTTAACAAATTATGATTTTGCAAGGTCATGTGTTCCAGTTGACCAAAGTTTTTACAATTTTTGCAAATATATCTTGTTCAATCTTTTTAATATCTTCTTTAAAACATAGATATGATAAAAGCAAGTAGAAGTCATCCTTAGTTTGTAGCCAAAACTTTCATTTGAGTGAAAATTTTAAAAATTTCTCATTTTGTATTGGCCATGTGATCAAAATTTTTCTTTATTTTTACTTTTTCTGACTATGTTTTCACCAAATTTTTATTGAGCTATATTAATTGCAATAAAATCTAATTATTTCATATGCAATCGAGGAGTTATCGTTGCCAAATTGGCGTAAAACATTGATTTTTGCAATTTTATTCCTTGCTAATTTCAAGACCAAATTTTATATATTTAAATCAGTAATTATTGTGCGTATAATGTCAAATTGGATTGATACAATGTTTAAATAACTTAATCAATTGAAAACTCAAGTGAATTTCAAGTTTAAAGTAAAATTTTACAATTTTTTTCAAAATTCGCCTATAATTATTTCCACTTGCGAAACGCATATTTTTCAAAAAATGGCCGTTTTTTTTTTCTAGTTAATATAATTAAAAAATTTTTTCGCTGGGATATTCGTCATATTAAGCTGCACAAATTTCACATAGAACATATTTTCTGAAAATGTTTATATTTTCGAGAATTTTGAAAATATCAATTCGCCTATAATTATTTCCCCCACTGTAGACACGTGAAATTGAAAAAAAAAACAATATACATTTTTTTCAGCAAATAAAATTCCATCAACATTTTATTATTATTTGTGAAATCATGAGAGTATGAAGCAGTAGGAAGTAGGAATAAGAATTTAAAAGATTACCAAAACGCATTTAGATTTAATAAACAATTTAATGAGATTTACATTGAATTGATTCAATTGTACAATTGGATGTAAACAATATCTTTGACGACAACAGGAAAACAACCCAAAAGCAGCACTTCATATCAGCAACAAACACCTTTTCCTATATGCAGTCACAAACACTTGAATTATGAAAAGCTCTTGACAAATATTGAATGAAATTTTCATATCCAAATCTTTTTTTCGTCGCTCCTTTTCCCACCTTTCGGTATTCATTCCAATCATTGATGAAAGAAGCGAAGATGCAAAAAAGCTCGTGTACTCAAAACAGTTTTTTGCAATTTGCAATAGCATAAAAAAATTGATAAAAATTCATATGTGTGTCCTCAAAAAATAACAAACAAAAAAGCTTGCATCCACACACACACACATACATGCATAGAAGCATATAAATATGAAAAAAGTTGATCTTTTAACAAGCTATGAAATATTTTTATAATGAAAATCATTTCTCGAATCAAGAGAGCATTATTGCTGCCGAAAACTTTTTTTTTTGTGAATATTGAATTTTGTTGACAGAAATGAGAACTGACCAGCAATGTAGGTGGTTCAATATATTGAGGAATGTAGGAGAAACTTTTAACCTTTCATGAATATTTTATTAGATTTCATAAATCTAATCTTTAATATCCGATTTAGTCCTTATGAATATAATTCAAGCTGAATTGATGATTTTGTCATGCACAGAAGCATTGACGAGGTTCATAGATCTCCATGAATAAATTCTGACTCTACAATCACCAGAGACTCAATTATTAGTAGCATGTAGATAGTTTGACCTTCCGACGCATGCAACGGACTTAAATGACTTTTATCCTCAAAAGAAGAACTGCTGTTGATATGAATATGAATCATTTATCATCTAGTCTTAAAAGACAATGACATAGAAGATCATAAACATCATCACAACCTTTAGAGATATCTCAGGTTATGTGTAGGTTGAATTGGTGACTATCCTATGATTTTAAGTCAGTAGCAACCAGCATCCTTAATGAATCAGAACACAATAAAAATTTAATATTTTCAAGTCACAATTTTTCATCACATCCAACTCACAATAAATAATAGCCAGATTGAGGATGCAGAATGCCTGAATGAAATGTGTTAACTCATAAATAGGCGATTTATCTGCGTCATAGGCAAATGACATCTTTATAGGCATATCATATGACATTTTACTGTAGACTATAAAGCTCAATATGTTTTTGACTATCACAATGAAAATATGGTGCTGATTTTGAACGTCAATAATGACACTGACAACATTTTGTGACTATGAATTATTTTGTTAATGTGCTGGGATTTTTTTTGGATTTAAAGTCTGAATTTTATAATAATCTTTAGTATTTTGGATCCTGCTTTCAATTGATAAAGCCCAGGAACCTTCAATTATTGTGTTACGCTGTGATGTTCTCCATTGCACTTCAGTGTCCAAGAGTAAACTTTAATTGTCCAATGAAACAATAGTTCATGATTGAGAAATTCAAAATCAATAAGCCCCAATCAATGATGTCCTGTTCTCTTGTTGATATACTCTACATGGCTCTATATGTGCTCAAAAATATCAATTGATACTGAAAGTCATGTTGATTTCTGGTGTTTGCTTTTAATTTGTAATTATTGTGTGGAATAATTTCAGAATGTTACACGGCATGGCTAAAGGCTTAATCATTGATGATAAAATAGTGCTTTATTATTTTAAACAATTCCTGAATTCTGCAGAAAGCTAACGAATTAAAGCAACTTACATAATTGAAGTCTTAATTTGAAAATGAGAAAGTTTCACAACACATTTAAAGTGTTTTGTCGGCAATAAAAGTTAAGTGCTTTAGATTCTCACACATTAATATTCAGCAGATAGTAAACATTCAAACTTTAATAAAGTATTTTTGAAAGTTTCGTGTTAAATAATAAAATTCTCATGCATAAGCCACAAGAATTCCTAGAAATTCATTAATTAACAAACATATTGCAAACTTCTGTTGCAACCAGCATATGCTTGAAAGTTGTATATCCTGTTATGGAATGCTCAAATGAGATATAGGGAAACTTTGATGAATAATATATTATTTTCATTGGATGTACATGCTCAATTGTTGAAACTTGTAATTAATTAAATTTTAAAATTTATTGCTTAATTTTCAGCAGATAGAGAGTAGCTTATATCCCATACCAAATCTGTATCAATTAAAGCTTTCAAAAATTCGGCTAGCACAGATCAATAAAACACAGAATTTAAGATGAATTTCATTGCCTTTTTTTATTACACATTAAATTGTACACGACGAGAGAGGAAAAAAGCACATTTAGCACACAAAAGAACATCCATGATATTTCAATTGAGATACGGATATGGCGCTTGACTTTCATCTCTATAAATTTCACTCAATGTGACCCAAGTATTCGATGCTTTTTGTCTCGTACTTCTTAATCCAGATATAAATTTCGTTTGTAAATCCTCACAAATGCTTACAGTTGTAGCTATTGCCGAGGATTTACGTTTAAACATATCATTTCGTCCATAATGATCATTAATTCCATGACTCGATAAGAAATTTTTTTTATTTGGTAAACGGACATTAACATGATTTCGATTATTACGTTGTTGCACATTTTCATCGACATCGGCACGTCTCAATGCGCAATATGGACGTAACGATAGAAAATAAATGATTTCCATTAGCGATATTACACTAAATCCCATAAATAGACCTAAAAGTCCACCGGTGTTACTAAGGAATTCCGTAAATCCAATCAATTCATTCTTTGTATTTCCACTGTAAGCATTCTCATTTAATGAGATATGAACAACTGCTAAATTATCTCGTATGTAGTTTGCATTATAAACTCTCGAAAGTTGAGGTTCGACTGTTTGGAAACTTCCAGTTCCCAGGATAGAGGAAGATATCTCACGTCCATAATTTATCTCAAAACATGCTGGTAAACAATGATTGCATGATAAATTGCCATTCATTGTATTTTGTATTTTATAAATAATATTCTCGTAACATGGCGCTTCCAATCTACTACAAATTTTACTCTCATTGTCATACTTCCTCGGCATAAAATATAATGTACATCCACATTCACTTTCCGTTAGTTTTGAATTACATTCCATCTCGCAGTTCTTTTTCGAATAAATGTTATAATATGATAAATTATTTTCACTCGCAAACACACATTGTCGTTGTTGCATTGGTACGCGTCGTATTAAGTTTGTTGCCTCACTTATTTTCGGTGTTATTACGACTTTTGTCTCTAATCCTGGTGAAATGAAAAATCCAAAATTTGCCATTTTCGCTGTTTCAACTGGCGAGTGTAGAAGGGCTTTAAATCCATACGATCTCGTTGAACTACAATAATAATTGGCAACGTCAACATCGAGAAGTAATGATAATCCAAAATGATATCCCGCTCCCGGTACCGGACGAGGATATGGTGGCTTTACATTATTATATCCATTCTCTGGATTCCATGTTGCGTATGGAAAGTCACTCAATGTATTGTCAATGTGATCATCCTCCTCAAAAGTCTTGAACATTAATTTTGGATGGAATGCATTGAATGTACAACACAGACCCTCATCTGTTAAAACAGTCGTAAAGATTTCGTCACAATTCACAATACGCATACCAAACTTACAAAATTGTATCATTTGATGACATGGCTGGGATGCATTTAGAAAGAATTGCCTTACGTATGACCATTTGCCTTCAAAGTCTGTCAAATTGTCTTTTAATCCATCACCACTCGTACAGATGCTATCCAAAATAAGTTTGTCACGTTTCGATCGTATATTTATGGCGAAACTTTTTCTTACTTGATTCATATTGCAAATTGTTACAGCTGGAAATGGAATATCCTTAATTTTTGTTGTTATTGGATTACCGGATATGATAACAGGACTATCATTCCACTTTTGCCAAATATTTGATATGAAATATGCAGCAAGTACGAATACAAAGGCAAACGAAACACCAAAAAAAATCCTCTCGAAAGCTGATAAGCTTGTTGTGCCAATATAACGCAATCCATGTAGAGACGAATTGAGGCAGTATTGTTGAAGATTTTCGCAACGATTTAATGTTGATTTCTCGATTTTTGCGCTGCTACGTGTTGGCATTTCTTTTTATACTGCTGCTGCTTCGACGATATGCAACCACTTTTAAGCACAAAAAGATTGGAAATGAATAAAAAAATGTGCTACTTGATAAAAAAAAATATTGTCATGCATGTTCAAGAGGCTTTAGAAACGAGTAAACTTGACGAGTCCGCGGAATAATGAAAATTGCATTAGGGAAATTATATTTACACAAACTGAGCGAGCAATCAAATAAGTTTTCTTTGCTCACATTTTTCACAATATTTGATGCAGTATGTACGGATATGAGAACGTCTGTGTAGACTTGGAACAAATTTCATTAAAAAATATTTTTCGCTTGCTTCAGAGAAGATTTGTAGGATGATGTTGATAACTTCACTTTTTAATATTAAAAGTATAAGCTTCCCTTCCATCCTTATGAATTCAGTCAGTTACGGCAATCCATACGCATTGTTATTTGAAGCGCAAACAACACTTCTGCACGATTGACATGGCAGAGTGTCTCTTATATGCACCTCACTGAGGACTCTTATGATTTCATGACAATTTCAAAAATGTCAGTTAAATACATAGTTGAGCATGCAACAAAAGTGAGCAAAATGATGTTGACTGAATGCATTTAATTATGCAATATTAGTGCTGTTAATGTTACTATTTTAATTATATTGACTTTTTGAAGCATTCTTACAATGTAAAATAATTCATCCACTTTTTGAAATGCATTTCAAGGAAGCACAAAGCTCAGATTTTCATCAAAAACTGTGCATTCAATTTCTCCAATGTGAATAGAAATTCCTGTATCATAAACTATCTCAATTAAAAAACTTCATCATACTCATCACGAACAACTGTCAATAACATACAAAATTCCTGTAAGTTCCAATATCTGACATATTTTAGCATTCATTACAAACTTTCTTACCCCAAAATACATTAAAACTTGGTTTGTTTTTTCCATGTCAATCTTTTTTCTTTCCACGATGTTGTTTATTCATAAAAAAGACATTCTGAGGGTTTTTTTCTTATTGCTTGCTTCTTATTGTTGTGCATATTTTTAGACTTTTTTCATCACATTTTCTGTCAAGCCACACTTTGGGATGTTTTTGGAGCTTAAAGTTTTTTTTCTTTCCTACTGCGTTGTGGAAGGCACAGCTTCTTGTTTAATGCTTTAATAGGAGAGATAATCTAAAGAATATTTTCTTGTGTTACTGCTTTAATGATGAGAATAATTTTATAGGCATTCGGAATATTTAATTAGCTTGTTTGTAAATGGATTGGCGACGATTTGATTCTTTGAATGCTTGCTTATTATTGCTCTATTAAAACTTGTATTAACTATTGTTAAATGGAGCTTTTGTTAAAGCTTCAAGAAACTATTGAATCAAACTTACAAGAATTTAATTACAAGAATTTGAAAAGTTTAATTCTATCAAAATTTACTGTTCTGTAAGGTTTATATGGATCAGAATATCGATCTCATTACAGTTAATGATCCAAAGATTAATAATTTACTAGATCCAGTGAAGAAATTATTGATCAAAAGAGTTTGAATCGTGTATTTAAGTAAATAAATAATAGAATTCATGCCTTAATGAATAAAGAATTTTCTACAATTTTAAATATTTTACTGCTCCAAAAACTTCCTTTTAATTATTAATAAACACGCAAAAACAAGACCACTTCGCCTACACAAGAGTAAGAAGTTGAGAATATTTTTAATTGCTTTTTGATTTAAAGCCTTATTTTCCCCACTCAAAGAACAAATTGCTGCTTTTTGAAGCCTTACAGAATAGACACGTTACTTATTAAATTTAATATCTTCCACATTACATAGACTCGTTCATGACCATTTCTCATTGGCACTTCCTCCAACATATTGTATGTTATTTAATATTATATATACAGAGAAAACGGAACAAAGAAATTATGATCTCAGATGTTCGTATATATTTCTTTAACAGCTTCATGCTCGTATAGCTTTTACAGAGTAGTTATTTATTACCCTCAATATTTCTCAAAAATTCATGAATAAACGAATATATCCTTATTTATGATTATTTCTTCGCTCTGATCTGTTTGAATGGTTTAGTAATAAATAATATTTGCTTAGTAGATGTAGTTCCACTGCTTCGCAGATTTTTTTTCCTCTCCGATTTCATGCATTGCAGATTACAGGAGATTTGACAAACTTGAGTTGATGGAAGTTAAATAACAATAGAACGTATGCTGCGCATTTTCCCATACTATTATAAAACTTCAAAGATTTGAGCTTTAAGCTCATCATGCAGATGTCAGCAATCAAATTTATGCTTTAAATCCCTTTCATTGTATGTAAAATTCATAAAAATGTATCTTAATGCATTGCTGTCAATAAAATCAGACCCTCAGCTCCAAGGATATACAAATATCAAAAAAGGCACTTAAAAATCAGTTACAGCTTGAAGCTAGAATCAAAAATATCCATTACATCCAAGTAGCAAAAAAATACGCAAGTCAATCAGCCAGATCATCCATAAAAAAATCACATCCCAAAAATATTGCACAAAAAATTGGATTTCGTTTCCGTACGTGTTTCAAAAAGACCAGGCCGGTACAATTTGTTTTGTTATTGGCGATAATAAAAATGCTATAAAAGCACGAAAGATTGAATGATTTCTTTTCCTTTTCATCATTATCGCTTTCCTTCTTGCTTTTCCCATTTCCTTGCCTTTACATACCAAAAATTTATGAGTGCTGATGCACAGCGTCAATCTTCCATATTTTATTTTATGCGTTATTAATCAAATAAATATATCTCAATTATTTATTTAATTCCATCTCGATTTGAGGTACACACAAATCTGATTTCACATTGAACTCTTTCCTTTATTTTAGGAATAAGCAAGTAAACAGACACGCACGAGTGTACTATTGAAAATGATGAGATGCTTATTGAAGGATATATCGGTAAATAGAAGTAAGTTCAAATAATCGATTTGTAGCTGCATCCCTTGAGAAAATTCAGACAGAGTTTTATTTTTCATGATATTAACTTGCTTACTTAATCTTTACTTTTCTGACCTGAATGGAAGCTAATGTATCGAAATATATAAAGGCGAATCTTGTACAGACAAGAGCAGAGACTCTGTGACTGAAAGAGGAGGCAGTCTAATCTACGTAAGGAAGCTGTAAATACGACACGAATTCACACAATGCTCATGACATTAAAGGAGGTAAATGCAGGTAAATGAGAATCTCATGAACTTCAACATTTTCTTTCATTGCCAATCAAAAATTCAGAACAGCAAACAAAATTCTATAAAATATCTCCTAATGACTTGTTCTAATTGCAGAGTTCTAGGTTGTGTCTGTTTAACTTATTTCCTTGCTTCTTAATCATGAGTTTGTTTGTTTTAAGTAAGGTTTGATTTATAGCACTCGTAGACATACCTTAGACAATGTCACAATTCAATATCCACTTCTGCTCCTTACATCTGCTCTTTAAACTTATAAAATGTTCAATTCAAATATTTACTCTTTGATGAATTTTTTCAGATACGAATAGCAAAATCAGCAGTAGGCTTTGGTAACATAAAAATTTTAATTTTGAATTTAAATAACTGAAGCTTTAAGAAGAAACTTGAGATTTGTGTTGAAAAGTGAATGGATTTATCCCCAAAGGAAAGTGTGAAGAGAGCTTAATGATCGAATGGATTCTGTGAGTAATTAATACCTCTACTTCTCTTATAATGGATATTCTATTAATTCACGAGAACTAATGACATCATTTCCATCAAATTACTGAATATCTTTGGATTAATCGGTTCTCTAAATCAAAAAAATTGAGGAGCATTAGTAAGCAATTTTCTGTGGATTAATGAGAATTTAATATTGATGAATTTGATCGAGTTATCAGTTATTAGTCACTGGAACTTGAGTAAAAGATTGACGCCTCAAAAGTTTTTGGTTTTTCTACAAAAAAAAAGGTTGAATCACATTAATATTAGAAGTAACTAGCATAAATAAATTGACTTCCACTGCATCTAGCCCTTGTAAATATCATAGTCCAAAAAGGCAATTTCCGTCCATGAAAAATGACTTTAATTCATCAAATTATCGTCAATTACCCTCACAATAGAACTTCTATTTTTATTAAAGCATCTTCATCTGCTTTAAATTCGTTGATGTTAACGGCAGTAATGATTCTTCCGTTAAATAACAAAATGCCATTCTATGAAAATTATATTTTCTCTCACATTCTTTTCCTATCCATCTCTATACATCCATTAATTGCCAAATGCGAGAATCGATGATGAAAAAAAAGGAAAAAAGAAGAAGAATAAAAAATATATAAATCATTCTCATTTTTCTTCAACTCTCTTCCGCTTGATAGATTGATGGCGCCTGTCATTCATTTATTTCATATTACTTTTCTTATTCTCGAATGGTTGAGATGTAAAAAAGGGAGATGTTGATGGTGAATAAAAAAATATATATATACTGCTTGAGTGGGATGACTGCAGATGTGTAATGATTTGTCACAAACAACATCGCATTAAAGCTATTTGACCTTGAAACTTTTGCGTTGTTTAATCATCTTTAGATGTTTTTTGTGTCTTTGCCATTAGATGGAGAAGCTTTTGTTTGCAAATCTTCTGGTTTTATGTCTTGCTAATTTCCTTTTTACAACTCTTCTAATTTCTCTTTGATTTTCTGCTGAATTTATGTTTGGATGTTGATTAGATGACAATATTGTTGTCTATGCTTGTTATTATGTCTTCTAAAATGAACTTTCTATTGACTTAAAAATGGTTAAATATTCTAAATTTCATTCTTTGTTTATAAAAGTTTTGAAGGTTATTTCTCGTAAAAGGAAAATTGAGTTGTTCTATAATTGATCTTATTCTAGATTGTAGCTTCAAAATTCGTATTTTGTTGATCCAGTGCAAATTAATCAGTCATTAAATTCATAATCTTGTGATTTACAAACCAATAAATAACTTGAAATTCAAATTCAGTCCTAAAAATCCATCCAGACTACC